AGAAGTTCATTTGTGGCCTAGGAGTAACTTCCCAAACTTTGCTTCAAATCCGGTTGTAAAGTAAGGGGTAACTAAGTATTCCCACGTCCGTTAAACTCGGCTATTTGCAGGAACATCTGAAGCAAGAAATTACTCCTTGCTTCACCAGGCATCCATCGGGTTTCATAAACACGTCTGGTTTGGCTATGGAGTAGGATTTACTCCGAAACTGAAGTAAAATAAGGAGATGCTCTGGCCAACCGTAAAGTGAGCAGGGGTGATCACAGCTAAACTGGCGCATGGCTATGCATGAGTAGAAGGAACGGGCCCTTTAAACCGAAAATCAGCCCGTAGCGAGAAATTGTTATGTTGAACTATAAAACAATGTCAACATTATCAAGGGCGCACGAGTACGCATGTGTGAGAAAATTAACACAGCTGCAGTTCGTATAGTAACTTTGTATGCATCACGAACATATACCAAGAACAGTGGTGGACAAAGCTAGCAGGCCCTTATGAAAACCAATCTCTTCCCACATGCCACAGATTTCACGAGATCGTGTTTTTCTTTCCAGCTATGACACGGAATAATATGAGATAAGTTCACAAAACACAAAATCTAGAGTAAGGATAAACTCAGCTATTTCAGGAAACTGTTGTCGCTAAGGTGCATATTGCCTTCATACGTAGCACAGAGAAGCTCTGAGTATGAATACTTGAACCAAACAGCTTTGCTTATTTATGCGAGTAGCGGAACAATGCCGAGTATTATAAGATGTCTGCACTTCAGCGAATTTTAAAAAATCGCATTTAGTCTATATATTGATTGTAACACAAATCACAAGTAATTACTGAGTTAACCCAAAAATGACCACACTTTTTGGTTACCTTAGCAATATTTCTGAATTTATTGTAGTCATTTTAACCTTTCGGGTCCTAAGTAACAACATCCTTGCGAACGACCGCTTGTATCGTTATTGAAATTGCTTCAGCCTCGGCGTTTTACGATTCCTTTGATGATGATGATGATGATTGGGGGTTTTAGGGCTCATCGACTGCTGAAGGTCATGCAGCGCCCATTACGATTTCTTTGAGAGACGTGGTGTCAGGTTTATGAAGCCGGCGTAAGAAGTGATGAGTTACGTCGAAATCACTTCGGCTAGCCCGAAGTAAGTAGTTACTGTCGTTATGAGACTGTTCAGTGGACGTTTCCTGTTTGTCTCGTTCTACATACCTTTTAATCAGCCAATTGTATCTTTCTAGTAACATCGGCGGTGGCGAAGTTAATGGAAGCTACATGGAACATCTCGTCCTTAATTCTATAGAAATGGAGCCGCAAGAAGAGTTAAGACCCATCGCTTGCAGCTTCTTCAGTAATACATGGTGAACAAAGGCTGTGAACAACCTAGCCATTGGTCAACCGACTCGCTCCGCTGCTTACTCCCAACGGCGGATGAGGATGCCAGATAGCCATTTGGAATGTTTTAGTGCCTGAAGATAACTTCGGACCGTCTGAGTGTGTTGTTTGTTTTGTTTCTTTGCTTGTTGTATGTTGTCCAGCACGGGATAAAAAATAAACTTCTTCTTGGTTGCTCTCATGAATAGTGAGCTTTCCCAAAACATTGCTAAATTTGAATGGTATGGATTGCGAAGATGTCTGACCCTTCTGGCCTAACTTTAAGGGCCATCTACGTGATAACAAATGAAGCCTCCCACCTCTGTGGTGCCCCCCTCCCCGTCCCGCACCGCACTAAGCAACCTTGCGGTTCGATGGGTGTATGGTTCAATTCACTCACGCTTTGATGTCATTTACATGACGGCAAGGGTCCGCCTGTAATTACTTGAAACATTTGCGGGACCACTTTAATACCCAAACCCTAGCTATGCACCCGTTACGCTGGACAGACCATCCTTTCCCTTGGTTACGTAATTACGCTGTGTCACGGACAGCGTTCCGACCGCGTCTGTTTAGCGTCACATTGAGCTAGAGGTGCGAAGCAAAGGCGGGTTTGTTCTTCGTCCTGACAGTGGCATTTGGCTTAAAGGTTTTAGAACATTTAACTAAGACTTAGCATCACATGCCACCATACCTGATCGCTATGCTGCGCTGGCCACATTCACTAATGACGTTGCGAATGCACGCCATCAAAACCCATCCTTCCTATTCATGCGTAACGTCACGCTGTCCAGACCCTTACTCTTGTTACCCTGTGGTCACGCTCCATCCCCTCACCTCTCCACGCGTGACGTCACACATGGACAGCCCCAGGTTTGTTTTCACCCTTTAGACTGTTTTCGTGATCTTACAAGTGAGGTGCGAAGGTTCCAAGGTGCGAAGGCAGCGGTAAGCAGCGGGAGGCGGCGGTTGCGCTCGGCGGTGTTCAGGGCACCCGAGCGGGAGGCGAGGGGAGCGCAGACGGAGCACGTTCGCGCGCATACCCGGAGCGCTTTGCAGGGGTGGCAGTTGGATCGGTTCCGAACACGCACCGTCACCAGCCATGTTGTCCGCCGGCCGGGGCGGCGGCAGAGCTCCGCGCCGTGTTCGCCGCGGACCGGCGGCGCGGGCACGGCGCAGGTCGGGAACCACGCGCGGGCGGCACCACCTGATAGCGCCCAGTCATTGCACTGACTTCAGCGGAGCTTCGCATCACGTGGCGGGCCCGCGGGAGCTCACGCTTACGGAACACTAAAGGACATCACAGATACAATGTCTGTATATATCACGCGCTGTGTGCCGATAGGATCGTACGCGTCCTTTCAGAAGCGTTCGCAGGATTTTGCAATGAACCGCTCAGAACTGTTCGCTAAAAACCGAGTTTAGCGCGCCGCAGTTGCACCTAACTTCATGCGTGTTTTAAGTAACATCGCGTGTTGTCGATCTCATTCATTTGTACCTGACATTTTTCGCTGTCATTGAGTCAGGTGCACATTGTTATGTGGCACATATTAGGTAAGGGTGCGGTCATGTGCCATGAGCGCACATGAGTCATGTACCATGAGCACATTCCCCTGCACCAGTTCGACCTATCTTGTTTATATTTCGAGAACGTTTGGCTTTAACAACCACCCACTTGTATGGGTATCCTGCACTGGTGTGTAAGATATCATGCAATGCAATATGATGTCCAAAGTTCCCGTGTGGTGCTGTTGGCGCGCGGGGCCGGAGACTAGGTAGCTCTCGCAGGCTCTGATTCAAACATGTGCAGTATATTGACCACCTCAGTGATCACACCTCATGGCAGGCCTGGGGCTGGGGACTACCTCGGCTCGTCGCCCGTACTATCTTGGCCGCAGGACCGCTCCCTCTGCCCGCTGACAGACGCCTGTATGACGCCTTGCGGGCGTCAGTCAGCGCCTGTGTGACGTCATGCGGGCGTCAGTCAGCGCCTGTCATACAGAATGTGACATGGCCAGAGACAGCAGGGCATTGGGTGACTCCGGTACTACGCCTGGGCTCTTCAGTGTCGGCGGCGCTGAGGCCAACCGCAACAGTTTGTTAATTTTTATGACCTCGAAAGGGGTTTTAAAAAGACAGACAGCTGTGTATAAGTCAGTCTGTTTCAAAACCTGCCGGCATCGGCTTGAAAGAATGCAATGGGCAGTGGAGGTCGGGTCACGTTGCACCCGAAATAGTTGTAATGCTAGGCGGCTGCTAAAAAATAGTCCTCGTGTTTCCGAACGCTAGAGCTTTGCATCTGTCACCGCCTGCTACGCGCATGAATTTGCCTGCGTCAAGGTTCAACGTCATTTCGAAACATAATTGGTATCATTTTGTTTTTGCAATTGTGGTATTGCCATTCTTATTATTATGTTATCATTCTATATTACTTTGTATTGCCCTCCTCAATGTGGCTCAATTTAGTACCCGAATGGGGCTTGGCTGGAGCCCGACTGGCCGAGCCCCAGCGCCCACAGCGGCGCTAGAAGGGTCATGCCCCGGTGCAGCAAGGAACTGGCCTACAGTAAAACCGTACCTGCAGTGGGCGAGTGTGCGCTGCCGCTCAAGAAACAAATGCAACTGGGTCAGCTAGATGCATTTATGAGATATGCTTTTGAGGACCGATCCTTGAAAATGCTAAACAAGCGAGATTTTGAAAATGCTGCTACCTTGTCCTGGACCAGCAGGCGGGCCATATCACTAAGCCACCGAATTAATGCAGCACCCGTAGCCGTACCGTCCAAATTTAAAAAGCTGCTTAGCTGGCTGGACGAGGCCAATGCTGCGTTTGCCAGCCGTCGGCCCGGTTATGTCCAGGCGACCGGCATTCTACGGCCTTTGACGCCGCACGGCGCTATCACATTTCCTGGAGCCAAATGGCGAAGGGGCCGGCCGGCCGGGCGCGGTTGGCGCGTGCCCGCGGGCGCCGGTCACGTGACCTGGCGGCGGGCCATCTGTTACGGCGCGGCCGGGAGCAGCCACCGGCGGCGCCTTCAGTGGCTCGACTGCTCCCGTGCCGCTCCGCTCCACCTATCTCTCCTGAAGGTACGTTGAGGCTGTCCGACCTCCCTCTCCCTCTCAGCTGTTCTCGGAAGCCTGTCTGGGGAGGTCAGTGACGCCCTGAAAGCGCGGTCGCAGTGGTCAGCGACCGCCGCTCTGCCGCCCGCGCGGGGCTGGCAATCCGTGCGGCCCCGCGTGAACTGCTGATTGCGCGGGGATGTCGCGTGTGCGAAGCAGTCTGCGAAAGAGGGAATTGCAGAATAATCGGCTTGCACCTTCAGTAGCTTGGGAAATTGTCAACGGATGCAGTTTTGCCTAGTTTGAGGCGGCGCGGACACAGCCTTCCCTAGCGTGACGTGTACCAAAATTGGCGTGTCTTCTTTCAGTGCCGTAGCCAGGATTTCGACCAAGAGGGGGTGCAATCGGGTCATAGGGGTCGCTCTGAGCCAAGCGGCCCCGCTTCGTCGATATATTGGTACCATGTTGTACATTCGGGGCTTTGTGTTTTTCGGATCCTGTGATGCCCCGGGGTCGCTTTTTAATGTTAGGAAAGCACTACTGACGCCTGAAACTGCTAAAATGCTTGAGCTTTCATACCATGGAGCTATCATCCTCAGGAAGGGGGAGGGGGCAGCATGGCCCCAAAGTCCTCCTTAGCTACAACACTGTTTCTTCAGAGTTTCATCTAGATAGATCCAGACCCAAAGTAAATCTTCCTCAGTAATTTATGCCAACTTTGATATACTGGACAACTGTTTTGTTCTTATTCTGTGCTTAAGGTGGATTGTGTGGCATTGGCAACGTAAATATTGTGCGTGAGCCCATCGAGACGAACTTCGAGGTGATTGCTCACTTCTTCGTCTCATTCGGGCGAATAATTACTCGCTTGGTGGATCGGCCCCAGCACCCGCTTGAAGTGTAACCCCAAATGGAACGAGCGAATAGTACTATGCATGACACCTTTTCCAGTATTTTACTTTTTACTATTTGTATTCATCAGTATAGTGCATTCCCATTTATCGTAATGTTGGGGGTCAAAACGTAGGCCCTTAATGCAGCCAAATATGGCGTGTCGACTCATATCCAGTTGATGCCCTTCCTCTCAACCTTAACAAGAAATCACCGACCAGAGCGCTGCGCTTTAGAGTTTGTTACCTCCCCACTTTTCCATAAATTTCTGAGTTAAGAAAACGACATAAAACTCCGTTACGAAACTCCGTCACGAATTTTGGTGATCTCATCGTCTGTGCTGTTGCCATCATTTGTAACATCTCATTACATTTCCGTTTTCATTACCTCACAGATTCTGCCGGGTATTTTGTAGAGAACCACACCTCTGCCGTCCGTAGGCCAGCGACGCTGGACGAAGACGATCGGTGCTCGAATCTGTGTGCATTGTGCTCTAGATGGGCCACAAAAATCCTCGTCGATTATCGATGCGCTAGCTCCCGATGCCGCTGCTGGGCTGGTCCATGTCGGTGCACATGAGCCTCATCCTCACCGAACGGCATGGCCTGCCAGCAGCTGTGAACATCCTCTTCAAAGGGGTGGCCTCCGTAGCCGCGGGGACAGGCCGGCCCGGCGCGGGCGCGCGCTGCCGCTCTGCCATTGGCCGGCGGCCAGCGCCGCGCGCCATGCGGCCAAATATGGCGCGCCCCCAGCTTCTAATGTTACCACGGCGCCTGGGGCGCCGGCTGACGGGCTGGGCCGGACCGCTTCCCCTGGGCAGAAGCGCTGCACGCCAATTACATCGCGCTAAAACTGCGGCAGGCGTGTGCGGGCATTGGACTCACCGGGACTCCTTGGTAGGCTCCTGGCTCAGCACAGCCACTCCCAGGCCAGGAAGCCCCGGACTATTATTGGCTCGGATACGGTCGGTCCGTCTGATGACGTAAAAAAGGGGCGTGATGTTTTCCGCTGCCTTAAGGGTGCAAAGCTGCATGACTTCTACGCATTTTACAAATATCCACTTTGTGCTCAAATTAATGCAATGCTAAAAGCGCTCTTTTAAAGCTGCTTTCCGGTCTGAGAAAGACAGTTTTATGAGACACCAGCATAGGCTCCTTTACAGCACGGGCATGAGATGGGGATAAGGGGGTTGGCGGGACAAGGCTATTGCCCGCTTCCTAACCTTTCCCGTAAACATTTCCGGACTTCAGCAGACTTTATCGGACTTTCAGTAGGCTTTACTTGTTTTCATTTTTCGGCTTGTTCAACTTCAACAGGCTTCAGGCTTAAGCAGGCCGCAGGCTCGTTCTTCATTGGAATCAGGTTCAGTATTGAACTTAGAATCACCCACATTTACCAGAAATGAAACTGGTTTGGAGTCCCTGGACTACGAAATTGATTTAACTCCGTCCCTATGGCTTGAATCAGCTGTGTCAACATGATTCATTAGAATCAGCAACATGTCATAAGTGCGTGCAAGGGTTAAAAGAACGATAGTTTTGAGGCCTGGTGAAAATGTGTCACAGCGTTAATGACCATGTTTCTTGCAATAAGTGGAGACCTACCTGGATCTGTCAACACGCCGTGAAAGCTAACGCGTGTACGCAGAGGTTCACCAAGCTATGTATTGTGTGGAATGTATTTGAGGAAGAGTGGTAGCCAAAACCTTCACAAACATTTTTTTTTTCTAACTTGATGAAACTTTACTTTTGTGAAATGAAACTTTTTTCGTTTCGACACAACTTGGCAAGTCATGGACGAACGTCTGGTGTCTCAGAGTATGTAACTACATCCTTAATGCATTCTGTTGCAGAAAGTGCGTAGATGCATTACAACTTGCAACGGCTCAGCCACTGAACATTATCAGCATCTCAAATACTGATGGCGTCGTCTCATGTTCTCGCACATGAAATATTCAGTTGGATTTGAATCACCTTGGCTCCAATCATAATTCAGAACCTATGGTAACTAATGCAAAATCAGAGTCAAATCAGTCATGTCAATATCTTTGAACCAATAACATTCATATCACTATTTGACAAATCAGTCTGATTCGAATACTGATTCGGCAAGCAATATTTTGAGTCAGAATCGATTCGATCGAATGCAATTGAGTTGAGCACAAGTTTGCCCATGAGTCTTGCTTGTTAAGAATCGTTTCAAAAATTCAATGTCCCCAAACTCGAACTTGCGGTGAAGTCACTGGAATTCAAACGCTGGTGCAGCAATATATACATACCCTCGTTTAGTAAACGCTTCAGGGGTAACGTCAAGGGTCAAAAAGTTGACATTGAAAGCATATTGCGCAACATTTTGTCGTGAAATTATGCTAGGCAGCGTCATATAACCCTCGCGGTAGCTCCATGTCAGTGGCGAAAAAAATCACACGCGATGATTTTCTCAACGCATTCGCGATCGTAAGCTGCAGTGGGTCACCTTAGTTGCCAGCAGGCATCCCAGACCTGGCGTGTTGTGTGCAAAAATAGATTGCGCACATGGCTGAAACCATAAACCTCAAGCTTTGAGGCACGAGCAGAATATCGCTCGATGCATTTGTCGGGCCACATAGACTGCAGTAATCTGATTGGAGTGACTCCAGTCTCGAATGCTCGCGCTGTGTCGGCTGGGGTAGGGAGGTGTACAACCCTCATTTCATTCGCAGATCTAATGAAGCTTACTGGTGGTTCTAAAGTTTGCCTTAAGTGGGGTTCTTATGCCAAAATGAAATCAAAACCATCCATGAACTCATGAAAGATGTGTGGAGCGCCAAAGCTTAGGCTCAGCTGCTCGTGATGTGGCAATGTATCGGGTCTCCCTCCACATGTCTACATCAAGGAGATCATAGGCATCTAGAGCTCATTATAAATGGGGTAATGGTCCAGAAAGCAGCCAGGTACGGTGCTTCCTTTTATCATAAATGAGTGGATAACAATCATGCGCCTTTGCTAAATTTTGAGTGTATTTATGTGTCAAAATGTTTAAAGGGACTGTTCCGCATTTGTATGCGGTTTTGCATTACCTGCAGTTCATAACCTGCCATTTTTAAGAATTTAAATTCCCTTGTTTCTAAGCTTGACGCACGCAAACTTATTCAGCCTATTTTGACCGCCTATTTCAAAATCACTCCGGCATATATTCCGTCGCAGATACCTCACGCAAATACCCCACCTCATTGCCTGCATTGTGCTTTTTTTCACGCCGGATATGTCCATTGAAGTAAGACAATCAGCTCACAACCATGTTGAGCAACCGGTTGCATGTCTCCATTACCGACCGCGTTTTGTGATAATTAACACGGACATTTGGCCAACGACTAGTTATGACGGATATGAGGCTGTAGATGAAATAAATAAGAAAACCACCGTAATCGCGAGCGCAAATACAATCAAAATAGCATGTTGCCACGGAGAAATGTACCAGAACACCACTAGAAGAGATCAAATCGCACTTACATGAAGCTCGTAATATAACGTATATTGTCATCGCCTATATCTTAGGTGTACGTATCTTGTGTATATACGTATCTCGTGATCGCACGTATCTTGTGATCTCGCGGCCAACGCCATCTTGTGACTGAAAAGTACCACTAGTGAGTCGCGCCTTCCACTGCAGTGGCAGTTCTCCCACGGCCAGTCTGGTAACGGCTCTCACGTCATGAAAACGATTCATCACCTAATCAGCCGATGATGTGTTAAGGAGTAGATATGTCAAATAGTTAATCAAACTGAACATCCAACAATTTTTGCATACCTACGTCCGCGCTCGTTTCCTTTGGCGTTTCATGGAATGGAAAATACGTAGCAGTGTCCAACTGCCCACCTTCATCCTCACGTCCCTCCCCGTCGCTCCTTTTCTCCGTCGCTCCTTGACTGCGCCCGGGCGCGCGCGCGGTGCGCGTGTTCAGCAGGCCGATGTCCCCTGGCACGTCGTCCTGCGGTAGCTGATGCTGTCCGACTTCTGTTCCAGGTCTCACTCGGCCACCACATTTCCACAATGTCCGACGAGGAGTACAGGTACGTCCGCCATGCGGCGCACGCGACGCGAACCCACCAGTCACGTGACGATGACGTTTGCCGCATCGGCTTGTTGCACCTATGTATCGTATCCTAGAGCCATGCTGAGGTGTACTACCCCGTCTCCGCTTGACTGTCGGTACAAAAACGTGCATTTGCATGAGATTATCACGCTGTTGCTGTGGTACAGTGGTCAGCTCTCTCGTCTCAACAGTTGATGGAAAACTCAGACTCAAGGTACACCTCACGTAAAGCCTTAACAAGGACGTAAATGCACCCAGCAGCGACAGCGGTCAGCAATAGCCATAGCGATAACAATCGCTGTTCCCGTTCTGTCCCCCCCCCCCCCCCTAAAATGAGCCCGTTTAATCGCATAACCAAGAGACGTTTTAGTGGTGAGCGATGGCTGCGTGCATAAAGGAGGGAAGGTTTGTAGTGTCGAGCGAAAGCCACGTCTGCACACTTCCTGCCGGCTGGTCTTGTGCTCTCCAAGGGCCATCTGAGCGTAGTTTCCAGGCAAGGTGTGTCCGACACAAACCATGGGATCAATCGACGTAATGTGCTATGCACTTTACTCGCCGTTGACCTGGTATTTGACTTCAACCCAAGACCCAGAAGTTACCCACCACTGGAATGCCACCTGTTCGCTTTCGGCGGATGGACAAGACGGAACGGGGGAGACGTTACGGATGCTTAGTGGGCTGTGTGTGTGTGTGTGAGTGAGTGAGGGAGGTACCGAAATCCGTTCGAATGAATGCACAGATTGCTTTTACGTATTTTCTTACATGTAGATACACGTATACGTGAGGCCCAGCTTGCACAGTAGATGTTCTAACGACAGAGCTACCGTCCTGGCGCAAAGAGCGCAGGAGCTAAAACTGGCACAGGTGGACTTGGTGGGCGTCCAGCGGAGTATTGGAATGCGTCCAGACTGCCCCTCCCCTTCCACCGGCTCGTAAAGCCATGCCGTTGATGACGCACTTGTTAGCTATCCTCCCCTTTTCGTTAAGTGGAAGATAAATTCTTCTTGTTTGATGGTGTAAGCGTTCATGTCAGTCCTCCACTTGAAAATGGTGATCTCTGGCATGAAACCTGTGATGCGTCCCATCAAAAGGGACAAACCACGAACACCATTGAGGCTGACCAACTCTGGACAGGTTCCGTGCTCACGCCAAGGCATCCCTAATGTCGAACAATGTTGCCTCGGGCGTGGAGCCAGGTGGAACTTAAATACCCTTGGCGTCCCCTAAAGATCACGTCACCGTACTTCCGGAGCGTGGCGGCTAACTAAACTCCAGGTCACATGTTCCTGTGCTCTTCTGCGTGCATTAGATGCATTCTTACTCCGGAAAAAAGCAGACGCAGCAGTCTGGGCATGAGTCATTGGTGCAGCGCTCTCCTGCGCTAATGGTGTGAAGAAGCCCCAGGTCCACTCGGGCATCGAGCCTGAGTTGCCGCCTTGTAGCAATTCCAGTCCGGTAGAGATGGATGCACCGGATTGGCCTGCCAGGTCGAGTGCTGGCTGCTTGGAGCATCGACGAGCCAGCTAGAGTACTAGCTGCTTAGAGCATTGGCGTGCCAGGTAGAGTACTAGCTACTTGGAGCTTCAGGACTGCGTTGTGTTGGCAAGTCGGTACAACGGCTGGACTGACAATAAAAAGTTCGTGGAGAAAAAAATGCAAGTTCTAACATTACCACTAATTGGACTGATGAGAACATGTCCTATGCAATGATATTATTTAGAGAAAGAACATTAAGAACGTACTTATGACTGTTTTTAGGAATATTCGATGTAAGGTGTTTCGTCTGTTTCAAAATGTTCGAAACGTATGCAAAAGTGGTGTGATCTCATGACGTACCTTACAGAGATGGAAAGAGATCATCAACATCGTTCAGTTGCAGTCGGCTAGTTTACAAAGTTTTATCAAACACTATCTCACAAACATATTACAAAATTTAAACTTGCGCGATCAAGCAAACTATGTCTATTCGTTTAACATAAATGACATGCTTAGACCAGTAGTTTTCCCGTCTGTACATCTGCCTCATAATCTGGGCTTGGACCTCCTAGAGACACGTACAAGATACAGACAAAAAACGCAGCGGGACACCAGAAAGCTATTTGTTTTCAAAGAACAGCATTTCTTCTGGTTTTTTTTTCAAATAAATGTCATGAAGCTACATGACAGACTTAACGCTGTCTGCAAGTAGAGAATGCTCTGTTGCATATCTGAACTGTTTGTGATCGTGGACGCTGCTGAAAAATGCGTAAAAGTATTTTCGAAGGATAAAGCCTCCCACCGTTTCAAGAGATAACCAGATCAGGCCTTGCGAAAACATGTCAAAATTTGCATGTAGTCATGCTGGTGAAACCTTTAGTGGTAAAACCGTAAGGCTTTACGTCTAGGGCATAGCGGACATGAACTCTGTCCGTCATAGTTGGTCTTCCCTGCATGGTATCCAGACATGTCAGCGTCGCTGACGAACTCTGTAATTTATAGCAGAGGCCTAGGCAAGACTTTGGTTTGAGGGTTGTTAGACATAATTTTCGACGTACGGCGACATTCCGGTAAAACTTGGAGATCAGAGTGGTAACATTTTATGTTCATCATTTTTGATCGCTCTGCGCCAAGTGAAACAGGACATCGGAGAAAGATCCGCACGTGTCGGGTCCCCAAAATGAAGCAACGGTAAAAATTTAAGCCAAATTTTTGTGCACCCGGAGTTCCGTTCCTCGCCTACAAATACCGTGCGCCTCACGCCATGTCGACAAATGCCTGAACGACTGCGTATTTTCGTGCAGTTGTCCGCTGACCTTGGGCTATTGGGCGCGGCGAGGAGCGGTGCGGCGCGGCGCGGCGCGGCGCCGGTCCGCATTGGCCCCGGCCGGGCCGGGCTGGCGGCGGCGCCGGCCCGGAATGCTCCGCAGCCGGGCAGAAATCCGAGCGGATACCGACCGAAATAGACGGCCGGCGGCGCCTGGCGGCGGGGGGCCGCCGGCGCACGGGTGGCCAACCCACCCCCAGGCCGTGGCGAGGCGGGGCCGGCTGCTGACGCGGTCAGTGGGCACGCACTGGCACCCCCGCCACACGACAGCCCGGGGGCCGCGGCCGCGAGCGTCGGCCGGCGCAGGCCCGCGGCCTTCAACATCGCGTCGCCGGCGAGGGACGCCGCTGTTTAGATGCTTCTGCGCTTCGTGTTTAACTCTGGTACCGCTGAAGCATATACGAAGCGATGCGTAATTGTTTGCAGAGACACGCCCACATGGACCGATTTAGAAGCGGATGAGTTTGGCTGGTCTGACATTCAGAGCGTCGTAGACAGAATCACCGTCCCAGTGGCTGGTCTGACATTCAGAGCGTCGCAGACAGAATCACCGTCCCAGTGCGCCTTTACACCGTGCATTTAGTCTAAAACGTTACACACGACGCAAATAAAACTTCAAATCAAAGGATGCCATAGAAAGATCTCTACATTGTGCACGCTGTCTGTATTCCCACGCTTATGTTACATTTGGAAACCACCGACCAACGTAAGCAAAAATGTGAAGCAGCTGAAGCCGTTACAGGGATCGTCAATAAGAAGGTAGGAGCTCAAGCAAGTGGGTCATACCGGTGTACCTTGAGCCAAAAACAACGTGGCCGTTAATACCGGGGTGCTAATTTAGTGTGTGAAGGCAACCCGGGAAGTAACAGTGCCCTACCACTGGGGGGGGGGGGGGGGACTTTGTTCGACTGGGATTATGGTCGAGATTATCGACCGCGGCCTTTTAAGTCAATGACCTACAATATGACCTACAATATGCCGGGAGGTAATGGTTAAATGGCGTTATAGTGCTAAATCTCGATTGTTTTGAGCGCTGTCAATACCGTCGTGATTCAGCACTGCAATGTCATTTCATTAATGCCCCCTGGTGTATCTTACATCGTTAACTCGACATAATAACTTTGAACTCATAGAGCTAATGCGAATGGGGCTGTAGTTTTTGAACTATTCCACCATACATACGGATACAATCAAGTCAGCGCTAAAGCAAACCGGCGACATCTGACGAAGCTATAAACTACGATTTTGCGAATTTAAACCTTTACAAGACTGGCTTTTTCGCATCGAGCTTTTGGTCGGTGGGGATATCTACGCAAGCATGTTCATGATTTATTCTATTAAATTTGGTCGTGTTATCAGTTAACTAGAGCAGGCGGGCACGTTAAGCAAGTGGTATGATGCGAACGAAGGCGCTGTGTGGAAATCATCAAGGGATCACAACATTGACAGACTTAAGCGTGTAAGTGTAAGTAACCAAAAGTTATCCAACCAATGAGTGGGAATAAGTGGAAATGGGAGACCGGAAAGAGACCGATGCCATCTTTCCAACATGGGCCTCAAAAGCAAGAAGCTGGTCGGTAGTGACATATATGTATGTTCTTTATGTGTAGTTTAGCGCGCTTGGCTCCGGGCATATCGGTCCTGGGTTCGAGTCCCTGCCACACCACTACCGCTTACCACATGGTGCCTAGTAAAGACATCCCGTCTCAAAACAGTCGTGGCAATCGTTGAGATTTAAAGCCTCAATCACTGTTTTTGTTAAAAGCACCAAGCTGTGGCCCGAACCAAGAGAAACTCGGCCAGGAAAACGATATTGGCGCGCGGCCGGTTTGTTGCGGCCCCAAATTAACCCAAAATATTGTTGTTTTCTCCATGCCCCCGTCACTGGAACCAAAACATTCAATTGCACCCATCGCTCTTGCCGATTAAGCTTCCCAGACCCTGCCAGGCCCAAAACGGATCCGTGCTGCGATGATGTCATAGGTAAAGGGGTCAGCGAACAGCAAAGGTCAGCGCGCCCCTGCCTGCCAAACCTATGGAAGGATGATGTTCAAATGCATTGAAAGAGCCTATTCGCATGCGTGGGCCAAAGTGAGCGACTGATTCACATGCGATAGGCATGACGATGTCAGTTCCGCCTGTTACTACCTCGCTCAGCGCGGAGTGAGGCGTCTCACTGATATTGAGGAAGAGGAAGCACGCCCGACAGGCTCAGTGGATGCGACAATCATTTGAGAGGAGAGATTGGGGGATAGCTGTTAACGAATCCAAAAGCGTGTTTTTAATTTCAGTTGTAGCATGCGCATTGGAAACTTGAACGACCAAACACATTAGGGTAATGCACCACTGCAGAGGCATGATCGAGCTTCCCTTTGGACTTTTATGCCTCAGGCTCCTTTTGACTGTACGCGCTTCCCAATCAGTACTTTCATTGACGAATATTTCCTTCTCACAGTTCGGAGGAGGAGATGGACGAGGTAGGCAAGCGAATGAGCTCGCTGGTCCGCATGCTGACAACGTGCTTCAGATTTGTGCAGGGTGCTTCGCTGGATTTTTTTGTTCCCCGCCGCTTCATCCGTCCTCCTCTGCAAAGTCTTGACCGTGGCTTCTTGTCTAACTACCTCTGACGATGTTGTCTTGCGTTACCCTGACGCTGCCCCCTGAAGAGGATACTGTGCCGCACTACGGGGATGCTGTGCCGCAGCACAGAAACACCAGCGTTAGACGCCGCCGCGACGTCAGCGACGTAACCCGCTGCTCGGCAATGTTTAACCGTGACTTGGACTTGACCAAGGCCACTTGTCATTGGGCAATCGGGCAGGACGCTGCCTTCCGGGACCATTGTCCCGCACCATTCACAAGATGGGCGCGACACAATAAGCGAGAGCGCTCCCTGCTTTGCGTATCCAACGAAATGTTGGCATAATGCGCAGAGGAAGACGCCAGATGGGACAAAAAAAATCATTTTCATGTTTCCGTACACAAAGACTTGGAAAATGGCACCCTTGATGTCGCACAGGCTCCGGGCACCTGCACCATGACACAAGGCACCTGGCAATGCGTCGGTTCGTCTTTTTTTCTTTGAACTTTTTTTTGAAAATGCTTCTTTTCTGTTGACTTCTTCTGCACGAATCTGTAATCATTCGTCATGCTATTGTTTTTATAATATTAACACATGTGTTTTCTTTACAGTTCGGATGATGAAGAGTCTGGGGTATGGTCACTGACGGATGTCTTTGCATGCGAGCACGATGCTTAGACGTGCGATAGACCAGGATGTGTGGATTCTTGGCATGATCCCGTGACGGTTGCTGTGTTACGACGATGAACAGTAATACCGTAGACCAAGCTGAGGCCCAACGCGCCAATATGCTCCTCGCAGATCGTGTTTTTGCTCTCCTATGAAAAGCTTGCCCGGCGGAGGTTCGTACGTAACCGCTAGACACCGTCGTGGCCCGCCAGTACGCACCGTGGTGTAGAGTGGTAGCGTTAGGTGCCCAGACGTGCTGGCCGTGACAGAGTTGGCAGACGCTGATGAAAACCCATCTGTCGCCGTTTTCAGGCCCAGAAGGCTGCCGAGGCACGTAGACGCTTGCAGGCAGTAAGTGTGGTGTGCTGTTTACTAACCGGTACCTGAACGACGCGGGATTTCACAAAATCTGATCCGGATTGGCTTGCTCTCTTACGAATGATGATAATAATGCGAGCATTTAATGGTTTCCACTGAAACTGAAGTTTGAATGGTCAAGTATTTTATATGCTTCCAATATGTATCGCAATTCAGATTCTTCCGCGCGTTTCAATAGCATGCTAATGAAATGACTCTTACTTCCTTGGGTGTGAAGGAATCTTCCTCATGCAGCAAAATTTAAGCGGAGAAGGTGACCTTAAGGACCTTGTCGCTCACGCGAGCTTATTGCATTTGTTTTGAGCATATGTAAATTACCTTAAATTCACAATTTGATTTTCGTGACATTGGGAGGCTGTGGCAGGCTTTCGACTATGAGCTGAGCAGCTAAAATATTAACCTGCCTCTGAAGTGTATTGCAGCATCGATATTGTAAATGGTTCGCTGTCAATAAGATCGCAGTTCAGGTATGGCGTAGACATGTGTTGTGTCCCTGCCTTTTGTTCCCGTGTAGCTGTAGACGGCAGTAGTTTGGTTGTCCATCTGCCAGATCTGTTTGTTGGTTTTCTTCCGCCGGCGAGTTCGGACACTCGTCCGGCTGGTCGGACAGCCTTGCCCTACGGCTATTTGCCCCCTCCACCTGCTGTTACCAGACCACCCCCGTGTCATGCGTATAGAGGAGAGTGTAGCTCCTAGGGTAGCTGATGGTGTGAGCCCCGGTCCGTCCATGGTTCCCCGGCGTGGATTGTCCCCGCGTTGCGAAGCGAGGGGCCGTCAAAGTAAGACCCAGCCGGCAAACACCTGCAAGCCAGAAGAGGCGGGAAGGACGCTCAGCACCTCACACCGCGTCCTGTCGCGGACGATTCAAAAGTAGCCTGTTGAGCCTCCTTACCCCCTCTTGTTGCAGTGGTTGTTGGCTGGGTCTCTGGCGCTCGACTTCGGATTTTCTCGTTTGGACTGTTCGCTACGAATGCTTTCCGCAATGTAGAGCATGTCGGCTAGTTGGGTAGGCTAGAAGAGGCTTATACATCACTAACATGCCATGTGTAGGTTGTTTGTTGTGCACTTTCCATCGTTATAGCGAGACGAGGCGCCTAGTGCCTGTTGTTGCTGACGGCAGTTATAATACATGGCTGCCACATATAGAGAAGTGTATGGTACATACGCCTCCTCGTTGTTAATAGCTACTCAAGCCATGCTATATCCTACTGCAGATAGTTTCTTAGATGTGTAATGCTAGCGTGCCAAAATTCTCCAAAAGAATTTTGGAATTATCCAAAAGCACGTGGCACCATAGATAACCAGAGCAGTAAACATGAGGTCCTACCAAAAAGTCCACTAGCTTGGCAACGTTCTGCGGCGGCTTCTTTTGCAGTTTGAGGAAACACGGCCAACTGCGACATTACAGCTTACTATAATGACTTGAGCCGTTACGTGTTGTGTGCGCGCCACGTGCTGACGCCGTCCTGGTGGGGCTCCAGGAGGAGAAGAAGAAGCGGGCCGAGGTGGACCGGAAGAAGGCCGAGGTGCGAAAGCGCCTCGAGGAGAGCTCCGCCGCCAAGAAGGCCAAGAAGGGCTTCATGACACCGGAGAGGAAGAAGAAGCTCAGGGTGAGTACTGCCTAACCAGGGGAACGTTCTGAGGAATATTTGCATCTGCTCGCGCCCAGATGCTTATGTGGGCTGCAAAGTTCAGATTTACCTGCACCTTGTTTACCACAATGTGTCCAATTCACCAGTTTTTTGTGGTCAGCGTGTTTCAGGGTCAGTGCAGGTCATTGGTCGTGACGGTGTGATGCGGACAGTTTTCTGTGCTGGTGTGCAGCATCGGATGTTTGTTTCGCTCTGCAAACCTGGTCTGAATATCATGCAGTCCTTCACTTGGAGACATTCTTCACACTAAAGTCAACTGCTCGCTAGCGTTCTCCCGACTCTAAAAAGGAAGATAAACGACCGCCATTGAATCACGTCCATCGTATTTAAAACTGCTCCCGTCTCCAGCTACTGCTGAGAAAGAAGGCGGCTGAGGAACTGAAGAAGGAACAGGAGAGGAAGTCCGAGGAGAGGAGGCGAATCATCGCCCAGAGGTGCGGCCAGAAGAAGAACACAGAAGGCGCCAATGAAGGTAGATATTACCTCAGCCAGCGGCGGCCATCCTCACCCCTTCGAAATGTTTATTACCTGCTTTGCGAGTGCTGCACTTAAATCACTAGGCAATGTCGTGTTGGATGAAGTGCGCTTGATTGCCACTGAATCATATAGTAGTCTGTGTTTATGTACAATAAATGTAGCATTTCATTTGGATGTGTACCGCGGTCACTTGTAACGATAATTGCTTCAACCCGAGATGTCTGGTAACTCATGTCGATATGTGGGAATAGACCTACTGTGATGCTCTCCATGCGCAGATGGTAGTCCACACGCAGGTTGGTAAACCCTCAAACATTTCTCACTTTGGTCGTCGTAACGTGGCAGTTCCTTCGCCGTACATGTATTCGTACACACCATTTGTACGGAGCGTATATACTAACACGTGCATCAGACGCGGGCTTTTGTCGCAGGGACGTCGAGTGTCTTTGAAAATGGTCGTTAGTTGTCTCGTAGCATGGGCCAGTGCAAACCTGGCTGGCGATGGCAGCTGTCTTACATCCGTGCTGTAAAAACGTTGAACATTCCAAATGCTGCCTCATTGAAAACTAGAAAAAAAGCATCCGTTGTAGCAAAGTTTGCTGTTGACAGCTATGAATCCCAGCAAGGTTTGTTACCGGGTCTGCTAGACTAGGAAATGTGCGTGGTAAACATTTTTGCACCTGACCAGGACCTCCTGTGGGACTGCAGCACGACCTGTGTTCAGTTTGGTGGCAGCACTGTGTCCCTGTTTCTAGCCGAGACCACCCAGGTTTGCCAGTCGTACCAGCAGCGGATCGAAGAGCTCGAGGGTCAAAAGTGGGACTTGGAGCAGGAGGTTGAGGTTAAGGATGCCCAGGTGTGTAGGAAGAGCGTCATAACCAGGCCTGCCCCGGCACGGGGACAGATTTCCAACGTCGGCGGCATCCTCCGTGGTCCTCTCCCACTGACGTCACAAGATCTCTGTGCTTCGCATGTCATGCTGACCACTGACCATGCCAGACGTGTACCGACCTTCTCCCTCCGTGCCGACTACATGCCTTCCTGGACGGACATCCCAGACAGCTGATGCTGTCTGGTCCTGTGCATTGTCGCGTCTTGTGCATATCGCTAACGATGTTTTTCTTCTTCCATGATAGCCGAACTACAAACAATTTGTAGGGAGTACCATGAACACATTGCACAGCTGGAAAGTGACAAATATGACGCGGATTTGGGTGTAAAAATAAAAGACTACCAGGTAATCAATCACTCTTAACCACTTAGCTGAGTAGACATCCGTATCATCGTAGACAGTGTTCTGCTGTAGCAGAGCTGTTCTCTGCTTTTTAGTTAGAATGAGCTAGTGATTGGCCGCATTTCTGAGGCGGGCAGCGCAGCCAATCACTGCGCCGTAGCGAAGGCGAGCGCAGCTTCCCGCTACAGTACGCTCAGCGAACTGTAGTACGCTGTAGGTGTGTAGAAGAGCACGGTTCGTAGAGAACGATGCGGCTTAGGCGTATGCAGCACGGCATGAAATCCCGGGCTACGACTCGTTGTTTAGTGCAGAACGGTCACATCTGGCGTTGTGTGGCGGTGCGTGGCGAGGAGACAAGGCCCGCGTGCCGCACCACTCGGCATCACTCGTCACCAGGCAAAGCTGGTGGTGCGACTCGGCACCAGTCAGGGCGTCACTGGCGGTCAAGTTTGTTTTTCAATCAAACCTGGGCCCACCGCAGTGCGACTGGTCTGTACGGTACTCCGCTTCGAAGTCGCGCACATGAGCGGGCTGGCTTAGCGCATTCACTAATGGCACTACACCCATCGCCTTCCCATCTTGGATTGGTGCTGGCCTCGCGCGTCGCTCAGAGGCAGAGGCAGACGCAGCTCGGCGTCCCCCAGCGCTCAGGCGCCGCTGTGCCTGCAGTCCGTCGCAAATGCTGATTGGTCATTCGCGGGCGACAGGGAAGCAAGTGATTGGCTACTGAGCTCGGCCTTTGCCCCCGAACATGTGCACTGCCGCTGGTAGCCGAAGAGTTGAAGAGAAAGTCGCGCGGCGCAGCCAGCTCTGGTCTGCAGATCTGTGGCGCACTCTGTCGCCACCAGGGTGATGCGGTCCGGCCCGCTTGCTTTTCTTGCGTTTGTCTGCACGATGCGCTGACCCAGGCAACGTCACAGCACGCACAGCCCCGAGCGCCTCATCTTCGTCCCCTGGAAACATGCACACGTACATTATACAACAATTGTTGGCAGACATGCACAATATACGTACGCTGGAACGTGATCTCCGACCCACCTAATTGAATGTGTCACGACTGCACCGAGCGTGTCTGTGCGTTGAAAGCTTCATTCTGGAATAAGTGTATTTGCATCGAGGCCGTAGAGCAGTGCATGCCAAATAGGCGTTTCGGGTTGTGGCGATTGGTGTATGTTGATCCAGTTGAATCATGCGGCGTATGTCGGTCATAGTTCCGAGCACCGACAGCCAGAATCGAGTGGACATCTGAGCCGTGCGAGCCGATGCAATCGTCTTCGTTGATCTGTGAATATGTTTCTAGCAGTATCAACTGGTTTTGCTGTTACAGTGCGCTACCTTTCCGTTGGAGGCAGATTTCTGTTAAAAAAGAAAACATGGAGATGACATACATCCTTTCTGCATTTTGGTTCATATTTTCGACGTACTTTTAACCAAGCTAACCGCTTCCAAAATCAGTCTCATAACCCTTGCCACTATGTTTTCAGATCAACGAGCTCAACATTTCCGTGAACGACCTGCGCGGAAAGTTGTAAGTAGCAACGATGTGGTCTCATTCGAATATGGAAATATTATTCTATCCATGCTTACTTTGCAAAATACCATCTGAAACCAGTGCAATGTGTAAGATTATATTGGAACCCTCAACACACTTGGGTGTCCTAACTGTTTCAGAATAAAGTCGCCAAACGATCAATCTCAATTCTTTACCCACTATTGATCCGACAGTTTTGACCATGAGTCAGAGATTGTAATGTCAATCAGTGCACAATGGGCATGATAACATGTGCAGCCACATCTGAAGTCATCGTACCTCTGTTCAGATTGTGTCTCTGGTCAGACTGTCCGCTATTATTCCACTCCATTCCGACAGCATCAAGCCTACCCTGAAGAAGATCTCCAAATACGAAAACAAGTTTGCCAAGCTTCAAAAGAAGGCGGCAGAGTTCAACTTCAGGAACCAGCTCAAGCAGGTCAAGAAGAAGGAGTTCACGATGGACGACGACGACAAGGATGTGAGTCGATGCTGGCCTCTTCCAGAGCCCGTTCGCTTTCTGAGTGACTCGCTCCTCTGCGGTGTTGGAGTGACTTGCCTATCAATTTGTGGATTGACCCGGTTGCTAAATGTGTATGCTTCTGTGAAAGTAATCGCTGATGCCGGATACGGGATGTGATTGGTAAATGCACGCCTTGCGTATGACGGAGAGACACGTGATAAGTCTAGATCGTGTTTAGAAAGTTGTCTTGCCAAAAAAGAGATGTAGCGAGCTGCATGCTTTCGGAAAGCCTTGGTATTTCCATGTAAATACGTTGCACTCGGGCACATCTGCCACAGTCGTTGCATGGACCGGTAGCAGTACGGCTCAGCTAGATGCCAGTGTATCCGAAGCGACCGCGAGCGACCCAGTTCGCTCTGGCGGCGCCTCGCTAGCTGACGGCGTGCCGTCGAGAGGCCGCAGCTGGGGCCGGGGCGTGACGTGGCGTTTGTGTTTGGCCGTCGCGCCGCTTGCTTGGGCACTCGCCGCACAGCTGGCGGGCCGCAAATAGCTCTGGCGGGGCCCGCGGCTGGCGTGCGTCACGAGGCGCTGCCGCCGCCGCCGCCCGCCGCCGCGCGCCGCCTGACCCCCGACGCTCCTCTCCTTACAGGTCAAAGAGAAGGCGGAGTGGCAGCAGAAGAAGGCCGTCTAGTGTGTGTGCCCGCCTCTGTCTGTGTCCCAATCGCCTGCCTGTGCTTCTCTGGGCTGTCATGTGATCTGTCGGTACTGATCATAAATTGGGGGGCGACTCCGGGTGCTCACCGGTCGGCGGCGCGTCCGAGGTGGCCGGCCGCGACACACCGTGCCCGCCCGCCGCTCGGTGGGGTCGCTATGTTGGACCGCCGGTCGGCCAGCGGTCCGCCGTGCCGAACCCCCGGTCGGCCAGCGGTCCGCTGCGCCGAACCCTCGGTCGGCCAGCGGTCCGCTGCGCCGAACCCTCGGTCGACGGATGGCCAGGGCGTGCATCCCGTTACTGAGCTGGCGAGCGGACAGTCCTGTCAGCTTTGCTCCATCGCTCGTGTATATCACTGTTACTATTCTGGCACGTTTCTGCCCCGGAAGCGAAATGTCACCAAACAGTAATAAACCAAAAGTAACATCGCGGGTAGTAGTAGTCGCTCCATTCTACTTTATACCAAACTAGACGAGGTGTGGCTTTCGAGCCAGGCGAGGGGTTACTCAGCAAATGAGGTGAGATTGCTATGACTAACTTCCGTTTACCAAACATTCCAACACTCTGCGGGCATGCTTTCTACAACGAGATGTCTGATGAACGCACTTCCACCGTTCGACGCATAACTCGCATTGTGCACGGCAGGACGGCGTTGACCACTTCATCTTTTCTCAGTTGGAGCCCTGATGTCTTTTTTGCCATGATTTGAAATGTGTTTCATTTTCCCCCGGTCAATGTTACCACATAAAAATGGATTGGCAAAAAGGCCCCCTCTGCATTGTTCTGGTTTGGAGCTAGTTACGCCCTCTGCTAAAGCTTCCTCAAAAGTTCTTCGTTGAACTTATTAGGGATGAGCATGCAACAGTGTTACCTTCCGCACAGCTTCTCATATGATTCGGGATGAGCCCGCATTTTTCATGCCTTTTTTTGTTACTGTGATTATTCACTTACCAACGTAGAACTCGTTATCGTCCTCGTCACAGCTTTCAGTGCATTTTGCATCATGTTATTTTATTTTCGAAACAAATAGATGCGGAGGCTTACATGTCTGGACGAGAAAGAAAGCGCCTGTACCCCGGCACTGCTTGCACTTTTTGTAATAATTTGGTGTCGCGAGTATTTTTACAGTACCAGAGCACTGACACAAGGCTTTCGTTTCTAGGCCGGCAAACCCGAGTGGGCGCCAAAGCACGACGAGGAGAAGAAGGTAGCGGCAGCGTAGTGGAGATGTGTACCTGGAACCTCCGCTAAAATTGCCACTCCGTTCGGAATGTCCGCCTTTGTCTAAACCGCTCTGACTCTTAGTGGTCCAGAGCCCGAATCCGTCTCCTAAAGATACGTTTGGCCAGGCGAGGCCTCGTCCCGTACATGTATTGTTTGTTCGCAAGATTCGGCTCGACCACGGCCCAGTGTGGCCGCCTGCAGCTGTCGTAGCCTGCGCGTCTAGCGCGTCAGCTCCTGTCTTAGCAGCCATCGTAGTTCTTCACCTGGTCTCCTTGCCGCGCTCGCGTCCGCGGCAGCTAACGGAACACTAGATTCGCGGTAGCTCTGTAGGCGGCCGAGCCCGCGCGCGCGGCCGCGCCGGCGCTGTCCTGGTGCCGGCCGGGCGCCGCCTGCCCCCGGCGGCGTGCGGCGCCGACCCGCCCCGGCAGCTGCGACGTCGCGGCCGCTCGCGCCGCCGCAGAGTGTGACTAGCGTAGCCGCCGCCGGCCGAGCGAGAGCCGGCCGCGGACGGTGCGAGCAGCCAGAGCGCCGCCCGGACGGCGAGCATGCTCCGCGCCGCTGCCCGCCGACTGCTGCGCACGCACTGCATTCGGTCGAAATTACACGGAGAGCTGGCGGCCTGTAGTGTAGCGTGTGCCTGCTGGAGACTGACGCGACCCGGAAGCTGCCCGAGAGCCGGACAGCGGCCAGGTGTAGACGGTAGACCACTTCCAGGTATGTATGTGTGTAGCCCGCCGGGCTGACGGCTCCGGTTAGATATCTGTCCTGAGTTAGACTGATGTAGGTGCTGTGCATGCATGCCATCGCAACGCTTGCTAACCGTCATTGTAGGAATACTTAGCTATCTCGTATTACCGCAAGGTGACTCAAAATTCCACAAACGTGGGTGGTAAATGTCGGAGGCCGGCATTGCAAAAGGACATATCGTAGCTGATAACTCGTTTTGTTTGAATTGTATTAATTTTCTGTTTTTGACTTCTTAGAAATTTATGCCTGTGGGAAGCAGTCTTCAAATATTTTGTGTTGTGCCTGAGTTGTTCTGCTAGTTTATGACAAAAACGGAAGAGAAATACCGTTGAAGACGGAATTTCGCATTATACGAATCTACGCCCTGCTGTCGTTCACGTTTGCAGCTTAATCGTGGTAATCATGCGTTGCTTTTATGAGCTGAGTCTTTCAGTGTCGTTTCCTAAGCCGTTCTCGTCTTAGTAACGTACATTTGCAGCTCTGTCTGACTAGAGATAACGTCCACCTGTCTCATGCCAGTTGACATAACATTTCGTACGTGTTGGCGTGCGTGCGCACATGCGTCTGGCTTCGGCCCTGTCGGGAGCTCCTTGCGCATTGCCAGAAGCGAGGGGAATCCCGCTCCGCACTGGTGGAATGGACGGGAATGTTGACTATCATAGCGTAACCGAATAACGGAGCGAATACCACATAGCAAACCAGCTCCTCAACATCGTTGCCGTCACGAGAGGATTGATCGTTAGGCTTGGCGACTGGCAATAAGTGAGCAGCTGCGCCCTGTCACCCCCCCGTAAGCCGCTGCCGTGTTCTGCAGGAGATGAAGCGGAGGCGGCGCAGGAGGGTGCCGACCGCCGCGCCGGCCGAAGGTCAGTCCGCTGGTCCAGTGACGTCACAGAAGCTCAAACGTGCCGACTCGGAGCACGGTGCTGGATCGTTCCTGCCGCGCGCCGCCGTGCCGTGGCGTGCTGTCCATAGCTGAGTCTGCGGCCCATCTGTGTGTGTGTGCTCCGACCCCTTCCCCCCCCCCCGTGCCACTCTGGCGGGGGTCTTTTTGAATGCACTGGGTAGTGGGCGTGTATGACAGCAGTAGGGCACCAAGGATTTATTTATACTCAGACTTAATTTACCAGCCGCCATAGTTAGTATAATGGTTAGGTGCGTGAATGCATGGTTTTAGTAGAAGCGGTGTATCTACGTACAAGACAATGTGAACCGTTTTTAGCCCTTTCCTAAGCGAGGAAAGCAAAACTCAACAAGTTATTCCGGGCGTGCGAAGCTGCGACCCTCGTGTGAGCGTGCGCACGCTGAAAGTTGTGGGTCATTGCGAGCAAACTGCTTCACAAAACACGGCTCGTCAGAAACGGATGACTCACTTCTCTGTTCTCCTGTGTAAAAACAGTTAAGACTTCCTTATCGTATTAGTCGAGGACGCACATCATTGACTAACCACTGAAAATTACTGGATTTTGGTTTCCTTTTCTTTTTTAAGTCTCTATATCTGGCTTCCAGATTTGTCATGTCATTGTCCAAGCGCCGGCTTCGGCGCTTGAACTGTTAAAGGATTGCATTTACGTCGGAATCACTGTGCATTTATAATGCGCCAATAAAACCAAATCGTTTTCGCACATCGCCTTCGGCTGGAAGTGTTGCTCGGTGCGCCACCTTGTCAAGTGCGTCGAGTTCGCACCCAAAATGAGTAGATTTGAGCATGCACTTGGGTCCTCTTTTTCATCCAGTCGTGTCCAATGTGTCCCAGGTGGCGCCAGCCAAATGAAAGGTTTCTTAAACACTATTGACAGTTCCATAATCGGCGCTCTTTTCCACTGAAGTACTGGGGATAAGCGTAAGTTTTACGAGCCGATTATGCGGTACGTTGCGAGCAATTTGTCCTTTTCCGGACCTAAGCACCCTGCCAGCTGTCGCACATACGACGTTGGCTGTCAGGCAGGTGATGGCCAGAGACTGCTCGCGCATGCGCATGCTCCGGCGGGACTCTGACCGACTCCGTACCGCCCCAGCCGGCGACGAGGTCCCAGCCGACGGTGACGAGGCCCCAGCCGCCGAGGAGGCCCCAGCCGCCGAGGAGGCCCCGGCCGGCGCCGAGGAGGCGGCGCCGCCGGCCGGCGAGGCGGTCGAGGCGGCAGCCGAGTGACCCGGTGCCACCCTCTCTCCGAGTCCCGCGCCACAGCGAGCGGGCGCCCGGCCGGCGGCGGCCGCCACCCGGCGCCGCCGGCCGCCTCCAGCCATCGTTCACACTGCCCCCACTGCCGCGGGGCGTGGCGCGCGCCGGCCGCCGGCGCCTCCTGGCGCGGCCGCCGGCGCCGGCGGGGCTGCCGTCGGTCGCGACGGCCGACCGGCACCCGCTCATCGGGCCGGTGACGCCGCGGTGAGCACTGACACCCGCGCCGGTCCGGGCTCATTGGAACGGGATTATGCTCGCCTGTTGGTAAGTTTTCCATGCGGGGGTTACACGGCGTGCCACCAAGATGGGCACGTGTCTGCATACACTGTGAATAGGGGCGTTGTTTATTTTGCCGCGCAGGCAAACACGTAATAAAAGGAATCCTGTTTATAATTGCTGTTTTAATGGGAGGCTGACCAGCTGAGATTGATCACAAGATACTGAAAGAAGCCAAGGAGCGCTGAGCCAGCCATGATCGTGCGACCCAAACACAGCGAGGATATGCTCGATTGCGAATGGATGTGAAAGATCGTGAACTTGCATGACGAGATACCCTGCACCGCTACACGGCTCTGGCAGCACGCAGTCCTGTTGCTTGGTCTCCCTACCTTGTGGTTAACACCAACGAGGCTCATGGTATCACCTTCAGATTTCGAGTTGTTGAAGCTTAAAATGTGTTCAATCGTATTCCTTCCCAAGCGTCATAAAACTCAAAAGTAACCTGAATGATATATGTTGCGAGGATATGTTACAGATTTATGCAACCCGTCAAAATGTACGGTAATTCATCTCAGTTCATGCATTTCATCACCCGATTTATTATAGTAAAGGTAGCTCAGCACAGGATCGACCCGATGGTCTCGAAACGATGCTGTTAACGGGATGAAGCGTTGCGTGGCTTTATTCACATGAAGCAGCGCTGTGACGTAGTGCCATTGACCAAAACGTATGAATAATATATTATCTTTGTCACCAAATAAATCGGTCATCTTTCACCACTCAACCACCGGCAGTAGAGAAGGGTTGGTGTAGATGTAAAGCTGGGTTTTAATATTTTGGAATTGAGGCAGCACCGTGGGGTTAACTTTTTCAGAAGTTCTAGCGATGGCTGCCCTACTCATTAATTAGCCCCCTATGGTCTAGGCAGTAACTAGGCAATAAGCAATTGGAGCGCCACCGACGATTCTGCGAGCAGATATACCTGGCTCGCCCAATGCGTATAGTTGCACTTGACCATCAAACTGCTTTTGTTCTGGCCATGAGCTTGTAGTTTCCAGA